CCCTACTTTTCTTTCCAGAAACATATTTTATTTACAATTATCTCCACATTGTCCAAAAATGAACAAAACACCAATGTGGGAAGTTAAAAAAAATTAAATTCAAGATTTCTGCCCACGGGACATCGAATCCTGCCATCTTCCAGTTGCAAGGCGCGTGAAACTATGGTCGCTAAATGCGAACTTGTTTTTTAAGGAACCTCACCAGTTGACTAAATTCACTTAAAAGGTCCACTTAAACAATATTTGGCAGAGAACATTTCACTTCAAAGAACTGATTGCAATATTTTTGGGCTTACAGACACTGCGGCCTTATTCGCTAACGAATCGCGATTTTTTCATGTTTAAAGTGTTCTTCCGGGCATGCTCTCTCCAAAACGAAGTTGGTGACCCCCCATTTTTTTTTTACATTTCTGACATTACTAACTCATCATCTTACGATGGTAAAAGTCTCAGAAAAAAATCAATGTTGTAAAATTTTCGCGCGAACGTCCTTAAGTGTACAGTATACCTTCAGGGGTGTCTCGCGTGCAAGCGATGTAGCGCGCGCAGTTTAAGCTGTAGATACCTAAACGCCTATATCAAATTAAAGCTCATAGAGCTGGCTATCAAACTATACCAAGAATTTTGCAATAAAATGAATTGTCGAATTTTTCACGACCACTAAATGCGAGTGCCCAATTCACTTTTGGAAAGCTACAAGTCAAAGCGAATTTTGTTTTTCGCCAATTTCATTTTTTCCTCGGTTTCAGGGCCCAAAGCGCTTAAAAAACGTGTCTGCGTTTTGCCATATTCAATTGCAGTAAAAAGTTACAGAACATTTTTGAAATAGGATAAAAAAAAATTTGGAGTGATCGTACAAAAATCGCTCTCGAAGAAAAAGTATTTCGAAATTAACAATTCACAGACGTGCTTTTGTAGTTTATATGTTAAACTAGCTACTGTCCAAATTTGAGGGTAATTGAACAAATTCCCTTTGAGTTGGAACTCTTTAAAGCGCCTGCTTCAAGCGAAAAAAATTATTCGAGAAAACAGCAATAAGAAAAATCTTCTACTTCGCAAACAAACTCTGCCCACAAACGCCTCACTGGGTTCTCAGATGACTGAGCCAAGCAGTGCAGGGAAAGGTTACTATCGGCATTAACCTCCTGGTGAAATTTGCTCGCGAATCTCTAAAAAACCCTTGTGTTTCGCATTGCGCTTAAGGCGCCGAAGACGGAGAGATAATTTTTCTGTAGCTCGGTTTTTCTTGAAGCTGGTCTGGCAAAATGGGGAAGACTAAAAAGGATACGAACGTTAGAGTGGCTGAGCGAAGAAAACAAACAAAAGAAAGCGCGGGAAGCAACTGTGTGCGGTCAACTGTGCGTGGATAATATTTCAAATGGTCTCAATATTGAGTTCGACGATTCCTCGATATCGGACTCATCAGAAGAGTCTCTGTCAACATCCCTGTTATTGCTGTCAAGTTCCGAAATTTTTA